TTCAAAAAATATATATATAAAGTTCTTTCTTGATAGAAAGTCCTTTTTTATATACATGTAAGAGGGTCATGGGTTTTGTTTCTCTAGAAAATGCAACCTAACACAGGCAGTAGGCGCCCCCCTGGGAGAATCTGCCCTGCATCAGGTGGCTGCTCGTGCCATTTTGACCGACTTTCTTTTCTGCCTTTGAGCGTCCAGACCTCAAGTTACAGGCTCACTGGATTTTAGGTTTTGTAGGTCACATCAGAAGGACTCACTTTAGAAACCCTACTAAGTGAGTCAGAATTTACCCTACTGCATGCACACACCCATTGAAGATTAAAGGAACTGAAATTCTCTTTTGGACTTAACAATGAACAACCTTGTATGGGGAGAAGCAGAGAACGGCTACCCCAAAGTCATTGAACTTCGTTCAAATCTATATTGTTTTTGAAGTTGCTCAGTAATTGGTCATTTGAGCCTACCGGATATTGGCTATTTTAATATCCCTTTGCTTTTTGGGTCATTGAAATTATTGCCGGTGTCTAACCCTCATTGTTTCCTTAAGCAGCGTTCTTTCGCTCAAGTTCTTAAAATCTGTATAAGTGAACCTGCCACATATTTTATATATATTTTTCCTTTTCTCACTACTATTGTAAATTCTATACCATTGGTTAGATTAATGATATTATTCTGAGAATTATGGAGTCTTGGGCTGCAATCCGCATGGTCAGCAGTTCAAAATCAGCAGCAGCTCCTCAGGAGAAAGACTGGGTTTTCCACAGGGGGTTGCTGTGAGTCAGCATTGATTCGGTGGCAGTGAGAGAGAAATATAAGAATTATGAAATGTGTCATGGAGATTACTCATATTATTTCTCGGGAAGCTGATCATGATAATGCTGCCTCCGGGGGGGTAAAAAAAAATCATATCATTGTGAATGAGGGTAGTGCGTGATGGGGACCCAATGCCCATCTGTGGACAACTGGGCATACCTTGCAGAGGGGTAGTGGGGAGGAGATGAGTCACTCAGGGTTCAGTGTAGCAATAATGAAACTCACAACCTTCCTCTAGTTCTTAAACGCTTCCTCTCCACAACTATCATGATCCCAATTCTACCTTGCAAACCTGGTTAGACCAGAGGATGCACAGCGGTACAGATGGGAACTGGAAACACCAGGAATCCGGGACAGATGAACCCCTCAGGACCAGCGGTGAGAGTGGCGATACCGGGAGGGAAGGGGGCGTAGAAAGGAGGAATCTATCACCAGGTTCTAGATATAACACCCTCTCTGGGGGATGGGCAACAGACGGGTGGGTGAAGGGAGACGCAGGGCAGTGTAAGTTAAGATATAATAATAATTTATAAATTATTAAGGGTCCACGAGGGAGGGGGGAGTGGGAGGGAGGGGGAGGACAAAAAGGAAAATGAGGAGCTAATTCCAGGAACCCAAGCGGAAAGTGAATTTTGAGAATGATGAGGGCAACAAATGTATAAGTGTGCTTTACACAATTGATGTATGTATGGATTGTGATGAATTGTATGAGCCCCAATAAAATGATTAATTCCTAAAAAATGCTGCCTCCCAGTGGACCGTAGATTTATATACACCTTAGATATAGGAATGGATTTTCAGCTTGCACTTCACTGTAAACCCCACTCTGAGAACAAGTGATTCTTCTGCCGTGGTCCTACTCCATACTGACCCGCATGAAGTGATCACTAAAGAGATGGTAGCTACCTACAGTGAAGAGGTGAAGATATCAGATGATACCTGGCTATCAGAAAGAATAGGTTTTTAAAAAGTCTCAAAGGGGATTGTGTTACAAAGTTTACAGTCTGAGCACCAGGTTTAAAGTTAAGGCTTTCTATTCTGGTAAGAATTACAGTCTTGGAAACCCACAGTGGGGTTCTACCCTGTCCCATGGGGTCATTATGAATCAGAATCAACTCAAAGGAAGTGAGTTTGGGGGTTTCTTTTAGATGCATAATAGTGAAAGCCCAAAAGCCATTTGTAGAGTCACCATGTCAATAAAGCCTTCATTGAAACTCTTCTGACCTTTAACCAGGGGTATGGACACCCTTGCCCTTTGGCAGAGTGTTTGAAAAGTAAATTACCTCCACCCACTACCAGCCCAGGGAGGGGCCGTCTCCCTCCAGGACTGGCCTGAGTGTTTTTCATGAGGATCTCCATATTGTGGTCTCACCATCATGAGTCATGCCCTGACTGTCTGGGTCTGAAGGCCTGGGACCACGCTTGTTACAGTAGCTCTTCTGTCTAAAATAAGGTATGTGCCCCAATCATGGTCTCATCCCCAATTCCGTAGCCCCACCTGGAACTGCCACCAACCATGCTTTTATGACAGTTTTATTTGCCCTCCCACATCCTTTTTAAGTTTGTGAACCTCAGCAAACCCTTGGGCACCATTATAACCTTGTGCTAATGGTCTTCCTTATCCAGATGATGTGTCTGTCTTTGTCTTGTCTTCTGTTTAAGACTAATGAATAGTTCTCCTTAAATTGAATCTGAAACATGGAGTCTCTTTTGTGCCCTAAATCCAAAGGATTTAGGATGCCCTAAATCCAAAAATATCTATGGTAGCCAATGACTAAGCATGGTTGGTTCCAATCCACCCAGTGGCTCTATGGGAAAAACAAAACAAGCGGATGATCTGCTCAGGGACCCCCACAGGGCAGTTCTACTCTATCCCATGTGGTCACCATGAGCCAAAATCAACTGGATGGCATCTAGCAACAACTGGGGACTAGGGAGTGGTGTGGGGACCACTTGTGCAAATCAGCACCACAATTAGCTAATGCAGACTGGGACTAGGTAGAAATGACAGGAGTGAGGAAGCAAGTGTTAGCAACGTCGCATGTCCCGCACTTGTACACAGAGAGCTCTGTTTTCAGTTCAGGAGGGACACAGGACAATGCATATAAGATTTATGAGCAAGGAAGACAGGTCTAAACCAAATGCAAGTCTGAGGGTTTGTTTGTTTGTTTTGCCAGGTTCTGGTGAGAGATACTATTTGCACCTGTGCAGGGGCAGTGACTTATTTAATGTAACTCTGCCAGCCAAACTCTCTAACTCCTGCACAGGTCTGGGTAAGAAGGTGTGAGGGGGAGATACAGGTAAGATGCACCTGTGAGTAATTGTGAACAGGATCGACTGGAATGCCATCGTGCTGGGTATAAAATGAGACCTCTGGGAAGCAGGACGGGAGAATCACTTTACTAGAAAGATACAGGAGTGGCACACATTCTGTGGTCCCTGAGATCCCTGCACAGTGAACCTCTTGGATCTAGGTGACAGCTGTGATATCAGAGGAACAGCAGCAGAACCAGGAGTCAGAGCATGAAACAGAGAGGTGGACTTCCCCACCCATGGAGCAAGTAAAGCTGAGGGCTTTGGGGCAGGGGGCTGGCTTGTGGAGTGGGCTGCCTCTGGGCTCTTCCCTGGGGGAGCTGGGTTGGCTGATCCCTGGAGCTTGAGCTGAATGGATGGATAAGGTTGAGGTGTAAGATAGTAGGATGCCCTTTGGGCAGCTCTGTAAGAATTCTGCAAAATGCCCTGACTGAACTGCGCCATCTGGAGCATTTCTCGCCTGCAGTACAACCTGTTAACTTCCGTAATAAACCCTTTAATCAGGGTTTTTGTCTGAGTTCTCTGCAGCCACTGCAGTGGATATTAGAGCCTCCAGAGAAAACAGAAGACTAGTTAACAACGCCAGGTACCCCAGCCTGTCATCCCAGCCTCTTTCACAGCCCACCAATGTGTACTGAATGCTTGGACAAAGGCACTCAGTTTTAATCCTCAGAACACCTGAGAACTAAGCCACCTGTTCCCACTTTGCCGCTGTAGAGACTGATACTCAGCCTCTGAGGCCCTGAGCCAGGAGGTATGGCGGAAGGATTCCAGAAGAGCTCTCGTAATGGGATCAAATTGACAGCATCACCTTGGAAGATTAGATCGGAACCATAGGGGACAGAGACTTTATGTGCACGAGGAAGGAACAGCTCAGAAAGGGAGAGCCAGAATGCTCAAGTTACAACACTCAAAAGATGTCACCTCATCACTGAACCATGCATGTAGAACTGTTGAATTAGCATGCCTTCTATTGACTATAATCTCAAGAACAACCAAGTGAGTTTTTTCAAAAATGTGCCAGAGAAGGAGCTGTGAACAGGGTGGCATCATCCTGATTAGATAAGGGGGCTTCAGAAAGTTCATGGAAGAGAGAATGAAAAGAAAGTGGATTTTTTTCTTGTTAACTTTTCTCTTTTTTTTTGCAAACAACCAAGTAGTTTATTAACTAGCTCGGGCTAGGGCCCAAGTCCCAGAGCACCAACACAGTGGCCTCATCAGAGACGAGGACCCCGGCCTGGGGCACAAGCCAAGCTTTTCTACTCTCTACGGGTTACATAAACTGGGTGAAACTATCCCCCCCTGGGTGAGACTGTTTCCCCCTCACCCTCCCATAGTTCAATGACAATTGGTTGTGCAGGGCTTGTTGGTTGACTGGCTCCACTCTGGGGACGTTCCAATTGTGGTCAGCTTTTCAAAGCCCCCTTGTAGATATGACGATCATCATTATCCTGTTCGCAGCTTCCTGGACTTAGTTCTCCTTCTTTCAATCTTGCCATTCTGTTAGAATTCATGGTAAACTGACAGATCTTTACTATTTCCCTTCAAAGTTAAAATGACCCCATCATCCATCTGAAGGTCAGAACTCTTCACGAACAGGACCAGCAGCTGGAACATGGACACTCGTCTCCAAGCAGAGAGAGCAAGCTAAGAACGGATGGCCGAGCTCAAAAGCTAGATTGCTCCGGAAGACCCCCTCCCCCAAGCCTTCTCTATCAAACATCCCTGAGCAGGTGCTTGACATCTGACATGAGTTGTGGTCAGCTGGTAAGAGAAGCCAGCAGCCCTTTCCTGTTTGCTCCAAGTCAAAGCAGCAGGAGGCCTCCTGTTTGGCTGAGGAGCCTTTGTTCAGTGGGCCTGCCTGAGGGACTGAGATGCAAGTTTGGAGGTGGGAGCTGGAGAGAGTTTCTCAGCATGAAGGATCTGGAGGTGAGAGGGTAGGTAATTCAAAAGATGGTCAAAGAGAAAACAAGAAAGGGGGGATAATGGAGTGGAAAACAGGGGACTTCATCAAATCGGAGACCTCTGAGCCCCACCTGGAAGTTTCGGATTCAGTAGGTCTGGGGTGGGGCCCAAGAATTTGCTTTTCTCCTCAATTCCCAAGTACTGCCAGTGCTGCTGAGTTAGTGACCACACACTGAGAATTACGGATTTAGGAAATTGCTGGAGAGCTGGGAGAAGGCCCCTGGGAGAGAAATTATCCAGCACTGGGTCTTTCTGCTTCTTGGCAGGCCTTGCTCAAGAAAGCCCCTCGGATTCCCAGCCCCCAAATCAACCAAACTCCTACCATGGAGTCAATGCCGACTCCTCGCGATCCCTGTGGATTTCCGAGGCTACAGGAGCAGCAAACTCATCCCCAGCAGTTGTTCCAAAGCCAGGGACGGGGGGTGGGGGTGGGGGGGGAGTGTACATGGACATGAGAAATGATATGCAAAATGAACAATCCAAGATCAACAGACTCGAGAAAAGACCTGACTGAGCAGTGACCTGAGCCAGAGAACAATGCAGCCACCCCCTGACTTCATGGTAACATCAACTGAAACCCACTCACTAGGACAGAACCACTCAGTCTGCTAGAGAGTTGACAAAGTTTCTCGGAGGGGGAGGGGGCGCTTGAAGGTATTCTTGTCCCTGAGTACGAAGTATTCTCACTTCCACCCACAACTGCCTTGTCCGGATGGATCTTTCAGTCTCAATGCTGACCAAGCTTTAGCGCTGCTGCTGTTACATGTGATCCCATATAGATAAGAGCAGTTCCCCATTGTCATGACGTAGTCCACCACAGTGCTCTACCACTAGGTGGTGGACAGAGCAGCTGCTGGAGGCAGGGTGGGACAGCAAGGAGCCACCGTGGGTGAGAGATCTTCACAAAGGAGAAGGAAGTGACCCTAAGCCACCTTGTCTCCCTAGGGAGAAGGGGCTGGGGGAGGGGTCGGCTTGCTGAGGTGCAGCGGCTGAAAGCCAAAGAGGAGGACCTCCCCCTGAAGGCCGGCCTCCCTCGGCTCCTGGGCTCCTGAGAGATGGAGAGGCTCAGGGAGCTAGAGGCCAAGCTCCAAAGAATAACCACTACTTAAAATCAACAGGGCAGTGTTAGTCAAAAGCAAGTTCCGGAGCGCCGAGGAGGAGGAAGGGAAATCGGAAACAGACGCTCGGAGGAAGTGGGCTAGGCGCTGGTACAGCGTGGGGACAGCACTGAATGGCATGAAACAAAACACAACGTGTATGGATTTGCTGAATATAAAACAGATTTTCTTTGTAATCCTTCACCCAATTCACCACGAAAAGCGATTAGAGAGAAAATAAAGACGCTGGCTTGAGGCAGGGGCCCCTAAATTCTCAACAGGACATCCCGGCTGCTTCCTTTAAAGAGGTCTTTTTCAGCAGAGTTGCCCAATGCAGTAAATTGATTTCTCGACTGCTGCTTCCTTGGGTGTTGATGGTGGATCCAAGGGAACGAGCTCCTTGACACTAAGCTTTTCTCCCTTTATGACGCTGGTGCTCATTGTTAGGTGTAAATCCAGACTGAGCACTGGAGTCTTTGATCTTCAACAGTTAAGGGCGTTACATCCTCTTCACCTGTCCCATCTGCACACGGTCGCCTGTAAATGAGTCCTCCTCCCATCCGGAGACCACGCTGGTCTTCAGAGTCCAGCTTCAGAGTATTCGCTCAGCACACGGGGTGTTATCACTCACAACTGCCTGCCTCCGCAAAGAAAAGAGAGCAGTTCACGTGTCCACCCGCGGGTAAGCAAAGAAACGAAACGCAGTATTTTTGTACAATAAAAAGCAGCAAACTACTGAACTACTAAACACAAGGGGCCTTCAAAATGCTCATGGACAGATGGAATGAAGAAACAATGGGATTTTCCCATAGGCGTTTTGAGTCCACCGCCCCCCACCACCACCCCCCCACACACACACACTCCCAAGAGAACTATTGAGGAATCTCAGCTGCACTGTGTTGGGTGAAAAGCCAGAAAGAAAAGGAAATTTTAAAAAAGAAAGAAAAGGAAATAGTACGATTCTAAGCCCAGGAAGCACCACCCCCACCCCCGCCCCCAAACAGGCAAAAATAACCTACAGTGACATCCCAAGAGTGGCCGTCTAAGGCTGGGGGCTAGAAAGAAAGGTGGGAAAGGAAGGTACCCCGCAAAGCGGTCTGGGAGAGTTTTCCCGGGTGATGGGTCTGCTCTGTTGCTCTGGGTGGTGGTGACACGGGTGTGCAAAAAGTAAAACATGAAGCTGCACGCTTAAGGTGGGTGCATTTCCAGGGCCTGAAAGTTGTGCTGCCAGCAAGTGCAGCTGCGCCCGAGGAATCCCGGAGGCTCGCCCACAGTGCAGCCGGCCCGGCCGGCTCACTTCGGAGAGGCCCGGGCCCACGGCGGCCGCTTTCCTCCCCGCCCAGTCCC